CAGCTACTTGGGAGGCTGAGGCAGGAGACTCGCTTGAGCCCAGGAGTTGGAGGTTGCTGTGAGCTGTGATGCCACAGCACTCTACCCAGGGGGCCAGCTTGAGGCTCTGTCTCAAAAAAAGAAAGAAAGAAACAAAGAAAAGACATACCAAAACAAGCACATGAGAGGTAAAGAAACAGAACAGACGCTGTCCATATGAAATTAAGGTCAACAAAGACACTAAGGAGTTTCAAAGAGAAAAGTTAATAGTCCTTTACACTTATTATACTCATCTGCTATATTAAAGCAGTTTGAACTTGTTCATTAAAGAGTTATTTCTGGCTCATCACCTGTAGCACAGTGGTTACGGCCACAGCACTGAAGCTGGCAGGTTCAAGCCTGGCCGGGGCATGCTAAACAACAGTGACAACTGCAGCAAGAAAACAGCCAGGCATTGGGGCGGGTGCCTGTAGTCCCAGCTACTTGGGAGGCTGAGATAAGAGAATTGCTAAAGCCCAAAAGTTTTAGGTTGCTGTGAGCAGTGACATCATAGCACCCTACCAAGGGTGACATAGTGAGACTCTGTCTCAAAAAAAAGAAAAAAGTTATATCTAATTAGGTTATTGGAATATAGATTTGATTCTTGATCAAATATAACTGAAGTTGATGAAAATACTTGTTGAACAGCATTTAGAATGATTAAAATTTCAAGGCCAAAACCATGTAAGGAATAGGCTTGATTTGGAAAAGGAAATTTGATGCTTTAACGATGTTGATAAAGGAATTATAAAATATAGAGAAATTAGAATTTTTGAAACAGAATAGGAATACTTCAGAAAATCATTGAAAGTAAACTTCTGAATTAAGTTTATTGGAAGGGACTTGGATTTTCTTGGTCCATGATAAGCAAACTGAATCTGTTATTCTGGTTATGTTTTAAATTTATTTAAGGGAAGAGTGGCCTTTGTTTCATTCTACTTAAGGCTTTTTTAAAGGGAGAGGAATCAGAGGAGGAAAATCAGTACAATTTAGTACCTGTGTGTGTGTTTTTATTTATTATACCCTCTTACTTACAATGGGTTGAAAACCTTGGGATGAAACCAATCTGGGCTTTGTGTTCAAAGATGTGATGAAGGAGAACCCATCCCATTCTATCTACCCTTACATATAGATCATTGAGTCTTAGATTTGGTGTGCATCAGGATTATTACCTGAAGAATTTGTGAAAAATCCATATTCTCAGGTTTGACTCCTAAGATTTTGACTCAGTGTCTCTGGGATATGGCCTGGGAATAATGCCTTTTAACAATCTTCTTAGTGATTTCATTGCAGTGGTTTGCAGGCGACACTGGTTTAGATTGGGTAGAAAACACTTCTGTAGTTCTTGTTAAGAGTGACACATTTTGAATTCTTCAAATGAAAATGGAGATGAATTTGATTCTATTTGTTGAATCTTTTGTTCATTTGTTTGGAAACCGCTATTACTGACCATTGTTAAACATAGTTTATTCAGTACAGAATTAATTTTAGTACCAATTCTTCAGGAACATATCAGTTTTCCTCTGAAGATTATTCCTTGTTTTACATTCTAATCTTTGCTTTATTATTTTTTACATTATTGAAAATTTTCTCTATTTTCAGATCCCAGGATGCAGGCACTTTCCAAAAAGACAAAGAAATCTCATATTCCCAAAGAAGATGAAGAAAATGACAATGTCTTTGTAAAGCTTCTTAAGACATCAGGACTTATTCTTAAAACTGGAGAGAGTCAGAATCAACTAGGTAATATTTTAAATCTTGGAGTTTAGTGAAAGGACTTAGGACTGAATCATGGATTTCCCATATAGGCAGTGAATTAGAAATCGGGGACCAGTCGTTTTTTGACAAAGACAAAATTGCTTTTTAAAGACTATTGTTATAGTCTTTGGTCCTGGTTAACATATGTTAAGTAAAGTACTTATTCTCTTTCTCTTTTAGGAAAAAATGTTCTATGTTAGTATTCCTTTATGTTTTCTTATGAAAATAAATTAATATCCAGAAAGAAATTAGACCTGTATCAGAATAACTTAAGAAAAAAAATTTTTTTTAGGAGACAAGGTCTTGTTCTATTGCCCAGGCTAGAGTGCAGTGACACAATTACAGTTCACTGTAGCCTCAAACTCCTGTACTAAAGCAGTTCTCCTACCTCCGGCTCCTGAGTACTTAGGAATATAGGCATGCCACATCTGGCTAGTTTGTCTTATTTTTTGTAGAGATGGTATCTTTCTGTGTTGCCCAGGATGGGCTTGAACTTCTGTCCCCTAGTGATCCTTTTGCCACAGCCTCCTAGAGTGCTGGGATAACGGACATGAGCCACTGTGCCTGGCCAAGAAGAAAATTTATAGAGGCTCTGTTTTGGGGGTGCTGATTATTCTGTCCTAGGTTATAGCAGGAGTTTTTTAGAATACTTAGTGGCTATTTTTTTTTTTTTTTTTTTTT